GTTTTTTATCTTTTAATGGCGGGAGCACCACAAAATTTAAGGGAAAAACTTAATTTAACACAACCAGAAGATTTCAATGTAAATATAATTCATTATTTTTTTTAAATTAATTAAACAAATTTTTTTTCGAAAACTGCTGTTAAAAGTTAACTTTTGCGTAGTACTGAGCGACCGTCAAAACGATAGTTTTTTGTTAACAGGATGTAATAGTATATTAAAATACAAGTTTAGGTAAGACACGCTTGAAATGCACGAATTTAAGTTGAAAAACGAGTGCTTTAAGTCTTATGAAACGTGTTTTTATGCTTTTTTTTAAACAAAAATAAAATAAATTTTGACAATGTAGATATGTAATACCGTAATACTTGAAAATAGAAATTGTCAAAATACAAAATGTATTCACCTGAAAAAATGTTTCATATACAGAATGTCCCAATTTCGATGTCCGCATAGGCTATCTCCAAAACTAAAAGAGATAGAAAAAAAGTAGCTTACATGTCAAGATCTCGTTTTTCGACAAAATGCTAATGCCGAAAACTCCGAACAGCTATCGTCTTTTGTTTTCGCCCTATCGGCAAAAACTGAAAATTTCGCGAAAACGACAATCGCGAATATCTCTCTTGTTATCAAAGATGGAGTATTATAAATAAAACATTATATGGGCAACTTTTTACGAAGAATTCAGTGGCGTAGGTAGAACTTTTTTCCCATCTTTTATTTTCGAGATTTTAGACGTAACTTTATTTTTTTAAATGGAAATCATAGTTGGCTATGACCTAAAATAATTTGTTATTTTCTTTTGATAACAAATATGTATAGTTTGTGGGGTATATTTCTTATAGTTATTTTAGATAGAACAAATATTCATTTTGTTCTATCTAAAAGTAATGTATGTATTTAAAAGTTTATGTTGCTATGGTGATAACGATACTATGATGGAAAACATTGTTTCCAATTATTGCCAAAGTTTGTAGTAGTATTTAAAAATTCACTAACAACTCTGACATTATGTGCTGGCGCTCCGTCATATTGAATATATATCATTTCAGACATATTTAATGGCAAAATGTAGACCAAAGGCTCAATGTGCTGCCTTAATATAATATACCTCAATATATTAAGGCAGCACATTACCTGAGTTTAAGTTTTTATGGTAGATACTATATGCCAAAATTCTATTATCTAAAAGGGCGCACCATACATTGAACCCGAATCTTCTTTGAACACTCAGACACTTCATCGGTCCAGATGACGTTTTGAACAAACAGCAGATTATTTAATTTTTTTAAATATCATCTACAAAATTCTAATTTTCGATTGACATCTCCGGCACGTAAATAATGAGTTAACCCCGCTTTGTATGTGTTATATTTATTTTTCTTCCATATTCGGGAGCAGCGGCTTTTGTTTCAGACGTCTTGTTCAATTTCTCTGCAAGATGTTGATGAATTTATCGCAACTGAAGCCAACGCATTGACTTCATCCTCTTGCAGATCATTTTGGTATGTTTTTGCACGTGGTTTGGGGAAGGACCAAAAATCCGGATACCTTGTAAAATATAATTCCGCGGCTAACGTCGTATTCTTATCTGATAACATATAGCATTCCATCATGTTACATTTTTCATAATTTTCTTTTTTATGAACAAAAAATATTTTTTATGAGACACCCTATATTTGGTCTGAATCTCCAACATTCTTTCCTTTTCTGTTGTAGAAGAAAGAAGAATGTCGTCAAGGAAAAATATTTATTTTTTGTAAAAAGTACAAAAGTCCGTGTTGCCTTTTAAAACCCGGATCTTCAACTGACGGTCTTTAAATCAACGCCCCTCCTAATGAGATTGAAAATCAGCTTATACATAAATAAAAGATTTTAAAACAGATATTTTTCATAACCCCTGTCCAATTTATTCTTACATTAATACATTATTCCCGTGCATTCACTTTTAAATTAATGGATTTCCATTTATAAACAAAGTTATAAATCAACAAGAAAGCTTCGCGATTGCCTGCATTAACAATATTAAAATTGAAAATTAAAACAAAAAATAAATATATCTTCCTAAGTTTAAACAACAGCCACTTTCATCACGGATTTAAAGAACAAAGAAATATTTGTTAATGTCGCAAACTCAAATACGTTCAATATTTTTTATTAACTCAATTCCTTTTATTTTTTAAAACGCAAATACGTTGCCGACAATTAAAAAAACAGTAAATTATACCAAGATACGTAACAATTGACGTACTTATGACGCGTTGCAATCAATTTAAAATAACGTTTCGTGCCAGAAAAATTATCATTTAAAAATATTAACTTTACCAACTATGTTATATAAGAATCTTCTTTTCCTAAAAAAGCTTATATATTAAATAATGTGGTTTTAAGTGCCTATAAAAAGATGTGCCGTTATTATAAGATTTTTTTTTTATAAAATCCTTAACAAGATTTTAAAATAATCGGATTACGCGGGGCTGAAAGAAAATAAAACAGAAACCTGTAAGACTTCCGCCTTAATTACCGATAGAGGCCGTAACGAACTTTCATATCGATTGACAATGTCAATTTTGACATAAACATTTGTGGTGCGCAATTTCTCTAAAACGTTGCGGTTTTTTTGTTGTTGAAGAATTTACGTCGTAAACAATGATATCATTCGTGCGGAAACCTGATAAAAACCGGCTTGAATTTGTTCGTGATATTATTTCAGAGCGAAAAACGGCCATCTAACCTCTCTTACCTTATGACGTTTGATGGTTCTTGTAATTTCATGTTTTTTGGGGGTCCCAACTACTAATAAGAAATTATAATGGGGGGTTCTGTAAGTCAAGTTTTTCATTCTGGTAGTGTTTTATTATCGACAAGTCACGGGCACCGTGTTAGCGATTCTACACGACAAAAAGTTCATACTGTTTTTGATGCCCTTCGTGCTAACCCTAAAGTTGGGGTGCAAAGATTAGAAGGATTATTACAACAAATACCAAAGGTAAAAATTATATTTCTGAATTGTTGCTTTAGGTGATTGTTAATTTTTTTTTGTTTAATTTTCTTAGAATGAGAATATTTTGATGATACATGATGAAGCCGGTTATAATTTACTTCAAAAATGTGTGGGTGCAAATAATATTGAGCTCGTTAGGTGGCTTTTAAATAGACACTCTTCTACAGATGTTAATAGGTGTCCCTGTAGTTTACCTTTACATATAGCCTGTTTAAAAGGGTAATTTGTTTCTTTTTAAGGTTAAGGTAGATGTAAAATTTTTTTTCTAGGCATGATGAATGTGTTGATTTACTTTTAAAACATGGTGCCAAAATTGATGTTGAAGCTAGAATGTGTTGGCCAGGACCTCATAGCAATAATTGTGAAGAAAGAGGAAAATATTGTAGGATACTTTTTATAGGTTATCAATAATTATTTTGAGGTTATCTTTTTAAGTTTTAATAATAAATTAAAATAATTATTGATAATAATATAAATAATTTTTCTTAATTAAAAGGAGGTTATGTATTTTAATTTATTTTTTTAGTAAGTATACAACAAGATGAAAGTTGTATGGAACGAGAGCGAGAAAAACCTCAAAACAAACTTCAAAGTGCAATGTATTACGCTTTAGATGGAGATCAAGTTAATATTTTGATTATGTTGGCTCAAAAATGTGAAGATCTTTGGGTGAGATTCTTTAAAATCTAAAACTAACGATCTGAAAAGTCGCTCGCTTTTCTTTAATCTGGGTGGGCCAATTTTTTACACCTTTGTTTGTCTCACAAGGGAAGTGTCACAACTAGAGATGTACTGGGTACACGGTTTGTCAGATTCCTGGCGAATTTTTAATGACTGTGTATCACTTACTGGGTACAGGATTGTACCAGGTATTAAATTGCATACTTAAGCTGGATAAGGAGGTATATACAGGTAAACAAGAATAACAATTAGTAACTAAACTGGATATTTTATATAAAAAGCAAAATATAGTCATATATATCAAATCAACTCTCAAAAAAATAAACATTTTGTATAAAAAACTAAAATCTTATGCAAAAGGAAGTTGAAAGCAAAAGGATAGTAGTGTATTCCTTTTGCTTTCAAATATGTTTCCTGCTTCTTAAAATAAATTTTTTGAATATATAGCACTTCCAGGTGCAATTAAAAACTTCTTTAAGGGGGGAAGTACATTTAGACGCGCTAAAATAAGCGCATTTTCAAATTTTTTTTCGTGAAGTTGAAATTAGAGATGTGCGCGTGAGTGATTTTTTATGCCTGCTCACGCCCGCTCACAATCTATACCACGTGGGTCATGTACAAGGTTTATACAGGTGTATCTGAATGACTGCAACAAACTTCAAGGGGTGATTCTTTAGTGAATTTTAACGGTACTTTGATATATGAACCATGGGCGACTTCGGCTCCCCTAAGGAGCTACACCCCTTCAAAAATGGCGGAAAATTTTGGTTTAATTTTTTTTTCTCAAAAACCATAAACGCTGGGGAAATTAAATTTGGGGAATATGTTTAACTCATAATAGGGCACGTTTTGACCCTACNGATGCCTTATTATCCAAGCTACTAAATGATGTTGTCAAAGTTATAGCTCATCGTCTAACTTTCTGAGATAGCGGGAATTTTATGTTTCCCAATGCAGTTACGCCCCCTAGCGGTCGAATTACGAACTTCAAAATAATTTCCAGCTATTTCTCTTGCCCACTTTGCTTATAAAGATTTTTTTCCCAAACCTCTAGGCCTTACCGTTGTTGAGATACAGCCGCTCCGTACGCTTAACGGGACACTCTGTATAGTTTGTATTTAAAAAAATAAAACTTTATGTTGTATCTCAAAAATTATCAGCTATGTTTAAAATTTTGTAACAGCAGTATATTCTACTCAAAAAAGTGTCTTAAGTATGTATTAACCCCATTTCTCTAATTTCAAAAATAAACGAAATATGAGCATTTTTTGAAATCGCTAAAATTTAACTTTTTGGCTATAACTTAAAAACAAAAGAAGATAGAGATTTGGTCTTTGCGGGATTCGATTAGTCTTGGAAAAAGAGACCGAGACATGGCACCCACTTTTTTCGTATCTCTTATAGTTTCTGAGATAGCCTATAATAGCACCCAAATTGGCCCACCCTGTACGTTGGTCCCTCTTACTTGTTTTGTTCAAAAATTTGGAACCATATTATTCTAGCAAGTTATAGAAAATACAAAAAATTTCAATTTTGTCTGGTTTGTACTGTACGAATACGGTCTTTGTTGTCAACTGTGAAAACAAAAGCAAATCAAAATTCTGCCACATATTTACTTGTTTTCTAACATTCACGAAGCGAGCGACGTTGCCAGATCGTTGTCTAAAACTCCCAAATTCTAACGNTGGATTCTACGTGAAAAAATCTATTAGAACCCGTTTTTACTTTTTTACTAAGTTTCCGGATAGCCGAGATACGGGGGGTGTCTGAAAATCGTAAATTTTGAAATACTCCCTGTATATCAAAAACGAAGAGGTATATGAAAATTTGGTTTGCGGCATTATAAGTTTCACAAAAAAGTTGCTCAGGTTCGCGAAAACCGCAACTTTCTATCTTTCATAATAACTGAGATATCCTGCAAACCCATCGAAATTTGGACAAAAATTATAATAAATTTTTTTCAAAAATTATATATATTAATGTACAGGGTCATTAATATATATAATGTTTGAATAAAACATGTAAGAGGCACCTTACATGTTTTGTTCAAAAATTTCGAACCATATTATTCTAGCAAGTTATAGAAAATACGAAAGATTTCAATTTTGTCTCGTTTGTATTGTACGAATACGATCTTTGTTGTCAACTGTGAAAACAAAAGCAAATCAAAATTCTGCCACATATTTACTTGTTTTCTAACATTCACGAAGCGAGCGACGTTGCCAGATCGTTGTCTAAAACTCCCAAATTCTAACGTCTCTTATTTTCTAGAACGTTGTTTTTCGATCTAGAAAGCCAATGTTACATGCAGCGTGTGAAAGAGGTGCATGGAAATGCACTCAATTTCTCGTAATGGAACGTAGTGAAGAAATTCACATTTTAAAAGAAGAATATTACCCAATTCATTACGCTGTTTTACATGACAGCAAATTTCTAGAATTGTTAATAAGCGCCGGAGCTGATACTACAGTTCGAACTTGCACCCAACAAATGACATTACTCCACGTGGTTTTTCTTGTTGCTCATAAATCAGCGGAAGATACAATGTCAACAATTCGACTTTTATTAGAACACGGTTGCAAAGAAATTATTAACACCCCCGATTCACTCGGAAACACACCGCTGCACGCGTTAATCTTTCGGTATGCGTTAGAGGAGGCGCGCTATGGTTGCGATAAATGGAATAAATGGGACGTTTTACATTTGGTAAGGTATTTAATTCAATGTGGGGCGAAACAATCGATTAATCAAGCTGGAAATTCGGCGTTAGCGTGTGTTTTGCGACATGTCCGCGATTGGGAAATTTGTTATGAACTTTTAAATATGTTAATTCATGAAGGAGGTAAATAGATTTTTTTTAGAAATTAAATTTGATTAATATGTACATTTTAGGTGAGCCAAATATGGTGGGAAGAGATGGTTCTGTACCAATAATGATATGTTTAGTGCCACTAATAAACAAAGATCCACTTCATCACTTTACACATAACATGAAAGTATGTTATCTTAATTGTATAAGGATATTATTGAAAAATGGTGCAAATCCAAATTGTAGCTACAAAGAAAACTTAACCCCATTGCATGTTTTAGTTTTTACTGTCTCAGAAAATATTACTTTAGCTTGTGACGGGCAAAAAAGTAGTAATTTCGAGTTTATAAAGAACCTTTTAATCCTTTTATTAACTCACGGTTTAGATCCGAACGTACGTGTTAGTATGCGTACTCAACATATTTTGCAATCTTGCATGGATATGGTACAAAATGTACGAGATTGTCGCGACATCAACTACGTTTACGATTTAACGTTAACTTTAATCCAGTATGGTGCAAACCCGGATTTGACTGTAAACGTTTCAGAGGCTGTTAAAAATAATCAATTATATGCCCAATCGAAATGGAAAACCAAAAATTATATTCTTTATTATTACGTCATGTTGGTGTCTCGGAAAGAGAACATTGTAACCGATCCCGAAATGTCTTTTGCAAAAATAATAACTTTATTTTATTTGGTAATGAAACATCAGCCTTTATTCGAGTGTTTAAAAATTTTGTATACGCAACAATTGAGTCTTGTACCAGGGAAAGCAACTGAACCTTTAACCTGTATTATACGCGATTTATATAAACGACCGAGGACTTTAAAACAAATTAGTCGCGTTACGATACATAATTGTATGGGGCGCAGACCCGGATTATGTGTGAATAAATTAAATTTACCAAATCGGCTGAAAGAATATCTTTTAAATTTTGAACCGTAAAGATGAAAATATTTTAAAATTATTTAAAAAAAATATATTATTTGTGAAAAGTACTCTCAATTACCAGAGAGAATGCGAGATGTGTTAATCTTTTTGGAGAGATTATATTTTTTTAAATCATAATCTAAAAAACGAATTCAACGTAATCTGTAAATGTTAATAAATATAAAATTGAATGGTTTAATTGTGTGATTTATTTAATCATAATTAAACACTGTATGGTTAATATTTATATAGAGGTAAATTTACTAAATGCCCCATATATGGTTTATTTTTGAAATTAATACCGAGATAAAATGAATCTCATTATTGGTATATTGTTTTATTTTTAATAAATGTAGAAATCTGAAAAAAATGATATAGTTATAAAGGAATAGAAATATAATTATATATTATTTTTTAAAGAATTTTTAAAAATCTGGTAGTCTTTATAAAGAAACGAGTTATTTAAACAAAAACAGTATATTAAAATAATAACAATGAATAATAATAAATGTTTTTTCTTAATATAAAAAATAATAAATGATACAAAGATGTAAATATATCAATCTTGTGTATAAGAATGCAAAAGAAAAAACAGCTAACTGATTTAATATTAACGTAATAATAAAAAACGATATGCCAAATATAATAACAATTAAGAATATAAGTGTACAATGTAAGAAAATGAAAAGTGAATTTTGTGATTTTATTGTTGAAGATGAACACGAAATATAATATTGTTAATATGGAGAGTTTTTGTGGATTTATTTACATTTTTCGCTTCTTAAAAAGTTTATTAAAAGAAAATATTTTTAATTAGAAATTCAAGTTTTGGTTGATTAGTTCAACATATTATTTATTGACGAATGTACAACTGGAATGCATATAATACTTAGAACTTAATAATGAGTGTTTAGAATCGAATTTTTACACAAAGAATCAAGTATAAAGTGAGGTTCTACAAAGCGATTTAACAGATTAGCAAGTTGGTAAAATTTATTATATGAAAAGTAATTCCTCAGATATGTCCTAATCATGATCCTTCAATCATTATTAATAATTAACATTAATATCTTTCTATTTATTACATTATTTTTATTAATTAAAAGGTGAATGTTAATTCTATTTATTATATTATTAATTGTTATTATTATATTTAATTCATTACAATTGGATAATAAACAAAACAGATGTGATTTGTAAAATCGTTGTATTTGTACATTTTTTTGATACCTACCTGGTAATGTAGGGAAATTTATATTTCAGAAAAAGTTGGAACATACAGAGTGTTTTAAAATAACATTTTATAGGACGTATACTATGGTCAAAATCAAATTGAAAAGTCTTAATGAACATAAATCCGCGTCAACCGTCAGCTAACGAGATAAAAGCAATTTATTACAACATGGATTACTTTATTATTACTATTAATACTTATCGATTACGTCAAGTTGGTTTTGAGTGATTTACGTTGTTTAAATATACGACTGGCCCAAGAAAAATTGGAAACCCCACTATTTTCTTAAAATTATTTTTTAATGTCATTATAAAGGAGTATGTTTGGGATTCATGTTGCAAGTTTTAAATTTAAACTATATAAAAAACTTCTTGCTTGCTTAATATCAATTTATTCGGAACCGGTTTCGAGCTTAGCCCATCATCAGCCGAATCTACGTAAAAATTACATTACGATCAATTAAATATAATGAGAAACATAATAAAAATATTACAATCATAAACTTACTGTCAAATAGTTAAAAAGTAACCCACGACGTCATTAAAACAAAAATTATGAAAAGAGTACACATTGAAATATATCAAGCAATAATGATGTATGTTATTGTGAACAATTAAAGTTAAAAACACAGTGTATAAATAAAATTGTATAGATAAAATATTGTAAAACACTTTAAAAAGAACGAAACGCAAGAACAACACTTGACATGAGCACGAGAAAAACGACTATGAAACAGAAAAATAAAATCGGATACAAGAGCCTAATCGAAAAACGATATGAATTTTTAAGAAAAATTACAGACAATAAAAAATATAACCAATAAATAAAATAATTCGCATCACAAAAGTGGCTCACCCCCATATTTTTTTATTATTAGTGATATAAGAAAACCATTTGGAATGCGCTTAGTTAGGTCGCTAAAACGTATTATTACGACATGAAATCATTGTTTTTGTACTTCCGGTTATACCGGATGTGAGTACTAATTTCGCCATTTTTTTAAATCTATAATTTTTTTTCCTTCAGTTGGGTAGACAGTATAATTTCACATAACTTTTACTTGAAAAAATTTTCACGATCGCTTATAATTTNCGCCAAGGTTTATATATTAAAGGTTGTCTAAGTTCCTATGCTGCAATACTTTGATTTTAGTTTGTGGGCGAGGGGCAAGAGCAGAAGTGTTTCGTGACGTAAGCAATCACGGATTGCGCACGCAACCTCATGGCCATGTGGTGCTCCATGCATTTGTTTAATTTGAATTGCTTGGCGGTATTATTTCCACATGTGACGTAATGCGCAGTATGGTTACGTACGAATCTAGACAACCTCTTATACAGGGTGTCACACAAAAAACGCCCCAAGCTGTAGCTCTGTCATTTACATTCCGATTTTCATGAGCGGGGTATCAAATGAAATGGTTTCATGAATACTATGATTCATGCTACAAATAAATTTTTTCCAAGGCCATCTTCAATTTTAAGCGATTAACAACTTTTGATTTTCAAATTGCTCGGTATGTTTTTCATCACGTTATTGGATAGAGATTTTTTTTCTGAACCCATTGATGTACAATAGATTAACATAAATGTTGATAATCGCTACAAATTGAAGATGGCGTTGGAAAAAGTTTATTTGTAGCATGAATCATAGTATTCATCAACCATTTCATTTGATAGCTAAGTCATGAAAATTGGAAGGTAAATGACAGAGGTACAGCTAGCGGCGTTCTTGTGTGGCAACCTGTATATACAGGTGTCTTTTCTCTACTAAAATTATATTCAAAATGGATGTATTGTACATCAGTTGATTCAGAAAAACAGTCTCTATCCAATGACGTAAAGAAAAATATATAGAGCAATTTGAAACGCAAAAGTTAATAATCGCTTAAAATTGAAGACGGCCTTGGAAAAAATTTATTTGTAGCATGAATCATAGTATTCATGAAACCATTTCATTTGATAACCCGCTCATGAAAATCGGAATGTAAATGACAGAGTTACAGCTTGGGGCGTTTTTTGTGTGACGATGGTACCATCGTTTTGTGCTATTTATGTACTAATTTTGTACGGCATTAAAAATTTTTGTACTAATCATTTAGTATATTTTTTATATATATCAAATTGGGGGGTGTAGGTGGACGTCCAGTTACACCCCCCTTTTAAGATATCAGCATTTTCATAGTGCCATAATTTAGTGCTATTTATGTACTAATTTTGTACTATGTTAAAATTTTTGGTACTAATCATTTAGTATTTTTTTTTATACAATTGTCCCAACTTTTTGGTACCCCCTTTTTTCTTTTAAACTATAACTATCACACATTTGATGTTTGGCACATCGATACAGGACAAAAAGGTTTACTTTATGAAGTTAGTGTTGTTACTATATCACTTCCGGTTAGACCGGAAGTGGATGATTTATAAATTATAATGTATTTAACAGTTTTTATTAACTTTTTTTTTACAATATAACAAAATGTGCGGAACAATAAACTTGGATTTAACATCACGTTCTTCCGCAATTAAATCGTCAATTTCTCTGTAATCTCCATTGTCGCGGAAAATAATTGACGTGTAATGACACACGTCATAACTCAGATCCACATTTTCATCACAGCTCGGTACACAAATATAATTTAGAAATCTCTCCAGGTGGAAATCTTCACCTTGAAAAGATATCTTACAGGGTATATCGTGTATATTTGTCCGTTTGAGGCTGGACCCCTCTGTGTAAATGTCAATAATTAAGTACAAACCTAAAATATTATGTGATGTATTAGGAGGATATAATTCAAAATGGTTTCAGTTGTATTTTAGAGGTTATTCAGCAAACAAAAATTGCGACCCTTGCTTTAACAAAACACTTACCGCAATATGCAATTTTACTTGCAGCATTTTTGCCGCATTGCACACAAGAAAACCTTTTTTCTTCACAAATTTCCATACAAGTTTTTTCTAAACATTTTATACTGTCGGTGTTCATAGCTAAATTTTGTATGTATTGGAAAGTTTTGTAACCAATTGCAGCCCATACAATGTCGCTTCCATGAGAAGCCGATTTCCCTTAAATAAAAGTGGTACAAGCTCACCCACCGAAAATTCACATTTTAAAATGGTCGTTTCGCCTACCACTCGTTGATTCTTTTCCGGCATTATATCTTTCAAAATTTTTGTCCTTGTAGAATATGTGTTGGACACAATACCTTAAATATGCGAATATAAATCAGTAAGTTAATCATTACAGTATTTTTTATTGTGTGATATCTTTAATAGTTATTTATGTATCAATGCTTTAAAGCCGGTGTTTTTTAAGCTGTAATAAAGGGATGTGAGTATTAAAAAACGTGTATTGGTATACAAACATACCATTAATTATTTATTTATCGGCTTTAATGCTTTAATACATAAATAACTATTTAGTATAGATTGCAGAAATATTATATTATTACGGTAGTTGAATTGAGAGTAGTCAGGTTAGCTCAAGTCACTGAGTTAGTCTATAGACTCTACAGGCTTGTCCCAACATGCGAAAAAAATTGTTCCAGAAACCGAATTGCTATTATATTTAATTCTAAAACCGTTTTTGAGCGGTTTTCTGGCTTGTTGGGACAAACCTCATGTCTACTGAAAAGTTCTTTACCATTGTTATACAATTTAATCAAGTATTTGAAATTATTGCAATTACCCCAACTTTCAACAATTCCTCTGGTATGTTCATTTCTCAATGACTTTAAAAACAACTGACTGACAGAATCAAATGCGCAAGTGTTGTGTACACTAAAATTTCTGCCATCACTTTGAGATTGTTTTAGCGTTAAACAATTCGCGTTTTTTAAAATACATTTCTCCTTCCTCTTTCCATGGAATGAAAAATCGCTACATTTAAATCTGTGGTAGTTATAGTTTAAATGAAAAAAGGGGGTACCAAAAAGTTGGGACAATTGTATAAAAAAAATACTAAATGAT